ATTACGTGGCATAGACACGACGGAGGGGGTCTCGTATATGCCAACTTGACATTGACATTCAGCAGATTGGGTCTATTTAATTAAGCAATTGCATCTAGGGTTTGGACTTGGCCTATTATCATTTCCCTATATATATGTGAACGTACTTCACAAAAGATACGTTCATTCTAACCTATTCAAATCTCCTCTCCCTCTATTGCGTTCATCTTTCTCGCATTCGGTCATTTATTTGATCGTTGAAGTGTAAATGATAGTCGAATCTTTTTTTAGACCGACGACATTTGCCTTCTATCTGGATGTTCAGTGTGCGAGTGATGTCTACATGGAGAAAACAAGATCAGGATTTTGTTGGCACATTTTCTTGGGTCAACAGTGGGAGTTGTGAATTTGCAAAAAGGTCTGAAGCAGACATCAATGTCTTTAATTTATGTATTTTCTTGAATTTTATTGATCAATAATTATTCAGTCAAAGTGTAGAGAAAGAAAGAGACAACGCGATGATAAGCCTATTTTACAATTTGTTAGACTTTAAAAAGATTCGTTCAAGTAAAATGTAGTGCAAGATTACTGAATATTTTACTTTTATTGAGGGGATTTCTCCTTATTAGCTGGTAAACAAGAGGTGACTAACGTGGTTGTGTTGTATGAAGGCGGTGAAGGTGTGGTGGTGGAAGTGGTGACAATGGCCATAGTGATGGAGGGGTGGGGTGCACAAGGGATGAGTCAAGAGGATTATAAGTTCTTAATTTTTTTTAAGAGGTCCTTTGATTGATACGAATGCTATGAAAAATGTCACATCTAAGGAATTCGTTTTCTTCTTTAGCTGTTTGACACGAAAGTGAAAATAAAGTTCGAATTCCAAGGTACAAACACTTAAAAGTGTTTTTTCGCCAATTCCACGGAAATCTAATTCCTATGGTTTTGATGGTTTTTTCTTTTGCAACTTATATGGAATTGGGTTGCTTTTTTCACCTTTGCAATCAAACGGACCCTAATTATTTTGTTTTGCTATATTGATTTACTTCAAAGTTGGATCTTTTGTAATACATTTGTCAGATTCATCGATAGAATGATTCACTTTGTTAACTTCTCGAAGATTGAAAACAAAAATCGAACAAAAAACTAGTTAGGACATGATTGTTACTTTTGTCAAAGTAGGGATTTCCTTAAAAGAAAGTATATTTCCCTCGCAAAATTAACTATTACTTTGAACGAAATTCATCCAAAAATACAAAGATTTAGAGATGTCATTGCTATGAGATTAAACTGGCAATTTCCCTTCGTAATTTTTTTCCCTTGACGCTATTTTCTCTTGGACCATGCACCACTTCATTTTGATTGGATAGCCGACTAAGTAACACAGCCCACAACCTTCTTTTCAGCCCAGTTTTCTTTTTGACATGTGGCAATCCCATAGCCAAGAGGTTTCAAGAAATTCGATTTGTTTTCTTAGACATAATCAGAGGCGGCCCTAAAGGTGCGTGAGTTGAGCGATCGCATTGGGCCTCAACATTGTAGGGGCACCAACATTTTTTTTGTTATACTCGTATATTTATTTATAATTAAATATTTAAAATATAAAGTTTTGATTATTATGATAGTATTCCTATCTTAAATAATGTGAGGGAAAGGGGAAAAGTCGAAAAGAGATCAGGCCAGCTAAAGAATTGAGAGAAGAAAGAAAAATTGAGCAAATGCCTTTTTCCAATCGTCGTTTTGAATAAAAGAATTAAAAAAACCAACCGTCTTTTCCAATTACCTCGAAGATAATTGAGGCAGAGAAGAGAGAAACCAACCGTCTTTTTCTCCAATCATCTTTGATCTGGCTCCAAAAAATTATCTCTTCTCTTTAAACGACGATTGACGATTCATTTTTTTCATTAAACCCTAACTAAAAATTTGAATGACCTGTTATCTTTTCTTTATTATCTTTTCATCAATCTCGTTCTGTGATTTCACTGATTTGAATTCACTTTGCAAAAAATTTTAAAATCTGAATTCGCTTTACCTGAACGTGGGGACTGAGGATTGAGAAAGCACGACATAATTTTCCTCCGGAGAATTGAACACCTATAAGTGAGTTTTTGTTTCCTCAACATATTTTTTCTTCAATAATGGACTTTTTGGAGAATTTCAAAACACTCTAACTCTTAATCTTGACATTAATGATGTAAGAGGACAAGGATATGATAATATATCTAACATGAAAGGTAAGCACCAAGGTGTTAAAAAAACTACTAGACATAAATCCTAGAACATTTTATACACCATGTGGTATGTGGATGTCATTGTCTAAATTTGGCATTGTGTGATATGACAAACTCTTGTATTAAAGCAAAAGATTTTTTTTGGTGCTGAACAAGGTATTTATAATTTGTTTTCTAATTCTACAAAGAGATGGAAAATATTGAAAAACAATGTTACAACTATTGTCAAGCCATTGTCAGCTACACGATGGAAAGTCATGCTGAAGCTATTAAAGCAATTAGATTCCAAGCTCTTGAAACAAAAGAAGTTTTACTTGAAGTCACTGAAATTGAAAATGACAATGATGTAAGGTGTCGGGCGAATGCTTTGGCAACCCTTTATGTTTGAAATTTTGAGTTTTTAGTAGTTATGATCATATGGTATGAGATATTGTATGCTGTTAACTTGATTAGTAAAGTATTGCAATCTAATGATATGCTTATTAACGTTGATATTGAGGAAGTGAATGGTTGATTGCCTTTTTTAAAAAAATATAGGGAAACTGGATTCCATGATAACATAAATATTGCTAAAGAAATTGCATTGAAATGAAAATTAATCCTTTATTTCAAGTGAAACGTATAATTCGTAGAAAGAAACATTTTGATGATAATGCAATTGTAGACAATACACAATCACCTGAAGATTCTTTCAGAACCAATTATTTCTTTAATATAGTAAATCAAGCAATTGAATAACTTGAATGAAGGTTTGATCAATTCAATTCATATGAATTTTTTTTTGGATATTCTTTTTTCTTCTAACAAGTTAAGCTCATTGAATGATGCTAATTTGAAAGTATGCTGTGATCATCTTGATATTGTTTTAAAACATGTAAATTTTCACGATCTTCATGGCGAATATTTATTTCGAGAGTTAAAAGTTTTCGTACAAAAGAAATAAAAACAGCTTTTGATATATTGACTTATTTGAAAAGATTGAATTGCTTTCCAAATACATGTATTGCTTATAGAATATTATTGACAATTCCCGTTACTGTTGCATCTGCTGAAAGAAATTTTTTAAAATAGAAGTTATTAAAATCTTATTTGCGACCAATCGTATTACAAGAACGATTGAATGGTTAAGCTTTGATATCTATTGAGCAAGACTTTCTAGAAAAATATTGATTACTAAAGTTTAATTAGTAAGTTTGCTTCTAAAATTGCGAGAAGAAATATTTTTACATGATTTGTTGCATTTCAAATTTTACACTAGATATTTGTTTTTTAAGGTTTGCTTATATGGAATTGCACAAAGAGTCTAATGGCCTTGATAGTTCTTTGTTGATGACATATAAATTTTGATGAACTTCGAGAGATGCTTTTGAGGTTTATTTATGTTTTTCTTTTTCATGTATGTAAAAAAAGAAAAAATATTTAAATATCATATTTTTGCAATGAAATAATATTATTGAAATATATTTTTTTAAATACATATTTTAATTATTAGAAGGGGCACTATTTTAAAATTTCGTACATGGCACTTAAAATCTCATGTCTAGCTCTGGACATAATTAAAAAGGACTAATTGTCAATTAGCACAATATAATTGGTTGGTAGTTGATGAAGACGGATAGTGAGGTGGCACAATGTGAGTGGTTAAAGGAATTAAAGAATATGGCCCCTATTGAAATGGACGGTGGTGGTGGCGAGTGCGTGGCTCATGATTGATGGGCGGTTCTTTTGACGTGTCACACTAGTCCCTTGATTTTGACATGTCGTCCTTCATGGTCATCCCAATCTGTTTGGTATTTTATTAATTTCTTGAAACTTTTACAATTTTTAAGAAATTTATTTATTACATCCTCAGAATTGAAAACAATTGTAGATTTGTGGTCATTTTCTTATTTGAATAACTTAAACCTCTATAACTGTTTCGATGCGATGACACACACACACACACACACAAAATCGTAATTCTGGATGACTATAATTCTAAAATAATAAAAAGAAAAATTTCTTCAATATTGACAGAGATATAAGGATGATAATGAATCGAGTCAAGCTGACATCCTTCAAACACACAAGTTTGGCTCGTGTCCATAAACAAGGATCGTTAATCCTTCGACTCTTGAGCCTCATGGATCAAGTCGAGTCGTCCACAAATTAATGACTCAACCCAACCCCTTTATATAAAAGAAATTAATAGAATGAGTCCAAAAACAATACCCGAAAACAAACTAGCTCATGGTTTCACCTCGAAGTGGCTCTATTTCATTATATTTCATCCATATCCCAATTTTATTTATTTAATACCCCTTTGGTGTCATTGATATTATATATGTTGTTTTTAGTCTATCTCTTTCTATTTCTTTTCTACATATGGTATGGAAAGTTCAAAAATCATCATATAATAATCTAGAAATTGCAATAGAAAAGAATTAACGGAGGTTTGTGATAATTTTTCAACTCTTTCTACTAGGTAATATTGTATGCTTATGCTTGAAGATAATCAATTCACTCATTGTGATCGAACTCCATTATGGTCACCGTGCCACTCGTAAAAAAATAAGGGTTTTCGATTTGATTCATGGCTCATTTTAAAACTAGCCCAAGACGGCCTCCACTCCCATATGGATGAAACATTAAAACCATTCGTGCAGCACGAAAGTCACCATTCAAAGAATCCATTAAAAGAAGACAACACGAGAATTGTGATAATTGTGGGCGGGCGGTGGGGTCACTCAAATTAGCGAAATGGGTCGGCAAAGTTGAGTTTAATTAATTCTTCACCACTATATAAATACCTCTTCACTTCCAGCACCTCTCATCATCAGCAGAAAACGTACGTCTCTTTGTACATTCAAGAACTCAACAAACACGTTTTCTCTTTGATTCAGTGCAAATGGGCAAGGACATTGAGGTTGGCGCCGAATACACCACCAAGGACTACCAAGATCCGCCACCGGCTCCGCTGATTGACCCGGAGGAGCTAACCAAGTGGTCGTTCTACAGGGCCATTATAGCTGAATTCATCGCCACGCTCTTGTTCCTGTACATAACTGTTCTGACTGTGATTGGGTACAAGAGCGAAAGCGCCGCCGATAAATGCGGCGGCGTCGGGATTCTTGGCATAGCTTGGGCTTTTGGTGGCATGATTTTTGTCCTCGTTTACTGCACTGCTGGCATTTCCGGTAAGTACCTTAATGTCTAGACTTCGACCGACTAAATTCCATTTAGAGGGAGCTAGAAATTTTGTTACATGTACGAATACTCAATATAATTCCAATGGGTGCAGGAGGGCACATCAACCCGGCAGTGACATTAGGCCTATTCTTGGCCCGTAAGGTGTCACTGGTTCGGGCTATCATGTACATGGTGGCGCAATGTTTAGGTGCCATTTGCGGTTGCGGCTTGGTAAAGGCATTCCAGAAGTCTTACTATGTAAAATTCGGCGGCGGTGCCAATGAACTGGCGGATGGGTACAGTAACGGCACCGGATTGGCGGCGGAGATCATTGGCACATTCGTCCTTGTTTACACCGTATTCTCTGCCACTGACCCCAAGAGAAATGCTAGAGACTCCCACGTACCTGTAAGTGCATTTGACTCCCCTAGTTTCTTCCATTTTTTATACGGACTTGTTAAAATCCCGGTTCGACTCGGCCGGGTATGAATGAAAGGCTGACTCTGTTGGACCCTGTTGACACCCCTATCTAGGTCAAGAATTTGTTTCCTCTGTTCGTGTTGATTAATCCTAATTGAAATTTTTGACAGGTTTTGGCACCTCTTCCAATTGGATTTGCAGTGTTCATGGTTCATTTAGCCACAATCCCAATTACCGGCACGGGTATCAACCCGGCCCGAAGTTTAGGAGCTGCTGTTATCTATGGCAAAGACAAGGCCTGGGATGATCAAGTACGCATTATTTCAATGTTTTACAATTTGTACCTTATTTCCAGGAAAAAAAAATTAACGTTAATTCTCATATATTTTGCAGTGGATTTTCTGGGTGGGACCATTCATTGGGGCAGCCATTGCTGCATTTTACTACCAGTATATTCTGAGGGCAGGAGCTGTAAAAGCTCTGGGATCATTCAGGAGCACTGCTCATTGAGAATCAGCATCAGCATCAGCATCAGCATATTCAAGAGGAATTTGATTCCATGGAGAAATTGTAAATAAGCATGAAAAGCGGTCTCGGGCCCTTGTTTTAGAAACTGGTCCCTACTCTATTTTCCGTCTACTCTTTTTTTCTTTTTCTTTTTTTCGGTTGCTGGCCTCTCTTTTCTGTTTGTGAGTCGTGGTGTTCTTAGCATTTAAAATAATAAAGTTATCCTTTTTAATGTTATCTTCGTGCCTCATCAAATTAAGAAACGATTTTGTTGGAAGATTGTGTTGACGACATATCTATCAATCACTGTAAAAGTAGAAAAATATATTTGAAATCGAGGATTACAGGACTAAATTATGTAAATGAGAATGTCATGCCGCATCTTGTGTGATTTTATATATGGCATTAAAACAAATATTTACAATTTCTTCAAAATGATTGATAACTAGTTTCGTCACTCAAAAGTAAAGGACTTCAATAACAAGTTCAAAGACTAAAAAGATTCGAAGAGTTATAAGTCTCATGCCCACCTCCTCAATCTTAATATTTAATGTCGAGTTTGAATGACGACAATTAGTAAGCTAATTTTTTCCCGAAGTTTTACCTGTTTCAGTGCTTTTTTTTTTTTTTTTTTAAAGAGACGTGACATGCTACAATTGTGTCGTACGGTGGCTATAGTATTCGGGAACACATGATTTCTTTTTGACAAACCTCACTCTCTAGCAATCAATGCACAATACTAAAACACAAAAATCTGAAACAACCAGATTGTACTGCATTGCTTTCTAAACCTCTTTCTTTTGCACTCTTCGTCTTAGATCAAATTAAACTTCTATTTTTTTCCTACTACGAGAGGTATAGCCCCATCGTAAGTGTGTGCTACTTTATTTTATATTATTATTAAAATACATCGCCACCATTGAGTTACATCCAATTAATCTAGTGCACTATTTTTTTATTTATTATTATTATTATTTTTTTTTGGGGGTTCGCATATATGGCCATAATTGAAAGTGCATATTGAAAAATGACCATTTTCAAAAACCTTTGCAAATATGGTCATTTTTAATGCATCTAGACAAATATACCTTTCGTAGAAACGGCCATTTTTTTATGGCAAGATTTTGTTGTACAATGGAATTGATACACAAAGCTCAAGACGAAAATAATGTTAAATTTGAAATAATGCTATCTAATATCAGTAATTACCCTAGATGTAATATAACCATTGAAAAGCACAAAAGTAATTCAATCTCAAGAGATGTGATTAGGATTTTGAATGAATCAACAAACACTTCTTCAACAAAAAAAAAGAAATGCAGCCCCCTGGAGCACTTCTCCACTGGCAAAGGAAGGGTTATCTCAAAGTTGGCAGTTCAGAGGTCGTGGGTTCGATTTGTGGGACTCTTGGAAGGCAAGGAATATACTGAAAGGCAGGATTTAACCTGGAAGGCGGGAATATCTTGGAAAGCAAGGCGCAACGTTGGTTGGCTCACTAGACACTTTGGCAATTCAGTTGGAGAGGCGCTCGGACCCTAGTCAGTAGGAGGCACATCCCGCGGTTTAATTGGTCTGTGTGAAGAGGAGCCGGATTACAGACCCAAGGAATAGTCGTCGAAAGCAGACATCTTGATAAAAAAAAAAAAAAAAAAAAAAATGAAAATTTTGGACTAC